TGTCTCTACAAAATTTAAAAAAAAAAAAAAAAAAAAAAAAGTAGCCAGCCAGGTGCCACCCTGTAATCCCAGCATTTTGGGAGGCTGAGGCGGGTGGATCACCTCAGGTCAGGAGTTTGAAACCAGCCTGCCTAACATGGTGAAACCCCGTCTCTACTAAATACAAAAAATTAGCCAGGTGTGGTGGTGCATGCCTGTAATCTGAGCTAATTGCGAGGCTGAGACAGGAGAATCGTTTGTACCTGGAAGGCGGAGGTTGCAGTGAGCCTAGATGGCACCATTGCACTCCAGCTTGGGCAACAAGAGCAAAACTCCGTCTCAAAAAAAAAAAAAAAAAAAAAAATTAGCCGGACATGGTGGTGTGTGCCTGTAGTCCCAGCTGCTTGAGAGGCTGAGGTGGGAGGATCACTTGAGCCCAGGAGGTTGGACTTGAGCTTGCAACGAGTCATGATCGTGCCACTGTACTCCAGCCTGGGTGACAGAGTAAGACACCCAAAAAAAAACCAAAAAAACAACAACAAAAAAACCTTCTTTAGGAAAGTTAAATGTTACTCAATGTTGAGTCCTTGTTTCCTAATCTTAGCTAATCATTAGGTTCACTGATGACACTTATTTTAAAAATACAGTTTTTTGGGTCTCTCCAAAGAAGATCCAAGTTCAATAAGTTTGGCATGGGGCTGAATAGTCTGTATCAGCTTCCCAGGTGGTTCTGATGGCTCACTAGGTTTGGGGAACAATGTAGTAAGTCATCCTTAATTATCATCCAGCAAACAGTATCAATGGCAAACTCAACTTGCTTGAGAGCTCAGTAGTGTGAGGAAAATAGTCTTAAAGAAGTGAACGCTTTTGCCGAGAATGTGCTGAGTATAATGTTCTGACATGTAATATAATGACATATTTGGTCAGATTCTCCTAATAAATGATCATGTCCAGCATGCCGGCACCTTAGGGCGCCCTCTTCAGGAGCCTCTTGGGTAGCTGAGGACCCTCAGTCCTCCCTACCTGATAGGAGGGTCGTACCGGTCACCCTCACTACTTCCAACCGCAGTGACTCAGCCCTTGGAAAAACCAACACCCTGACTTTGTTAATCTTCCAGAGAGCAGGTGAGCACCAAGCCCCTGCAAGAGGCTGCCACACACACACGAGGAGGGACCAGAGTTCAGGCGTCTGAACTTGTGGTCATGGGCCCCTGGAGAATCTATGCAAAATCTCAGTGGATATTTGTGTAGAACTTGGTTAGAGTGGAGATTTCTGAGCATTCATCCTCAGCTTCTTGGTGGAGCCCATGACAACAAAAGGTTAGGGCCTCAGCTTAGAGAATGAGACTAGCTTAGAGAATGAGACTGGTGGTTCACCTCACCAAGCTGCAGATTACCCTCGGCCCTTTGCAGTCTGTCTCACAGGTGAAGGTTTGCACTGGGAGGAGGACCCAAAGCGCACCCTCCATTCGGCTTCATGTAGGCAGAGGGAGCAGAAGGCACACATGCAAACATGAAGGGCCGTGAGTGCTGCGCAGAGAAGACAGAAGGTGGAGGCCGAGCTACCCCAGGCCAGGGTCCAAGAATGGGAATGGAGGAGTGACATCTGGCCATCATCCGTGCCTCTGAGCCCCTGGGCAGGTTCCTCAGGGCTGCCTCTACTCATCTTCCAGATGGAACTGAAATGCCAGCCCGAAGAATGGGAGCCCTGTGACCCAGCATCTCTCTCAGAACAGGAAGGGAGTTTGAGGACAATCATAGATAACAATTGCTGGCTAATGAATGTCTGCGCGGTGCTGGGCGCTATGAGTAATGATCTCTGATGCCCACAGCACCCGGCAAGGTTGGTATTCTTTCCCCCATTTTACAAATGGGGAGATGAAGCTTGAGCAACTTTGGCTAACACGCCAGGTCACACAGCAGGCATTTAACCCAGGTCTGACTCCAGACGAAGCTGGACGAGTGAGGAAGCCAAGCTCCATACTAACGGCTTTGCCCATCATGGAGCTGAGAACCTAGCCAGCCTCTCTTGATCCCATTCCAGACCCTTCTGCCACACATGGAGCTTGGAAAGAATGAACTAACACAGAAAGGAGGTTTGGCTCTGCAGAGGATGTAAATGGGGGCTGAGGTAAACAGCAGGCTGAGGACACCCTCCCCACCCCCACCCCCTGGGGCATAAATTCTAGCCTTGAGGCAGAGTTGAAGGAGACCAAAACTCAGTGGCACAAACTGGGGACAAACCAGAGCCTTGGAGGAGAAAGCCTTCCCCAAACCAAGAGTCAAGGTGGGTCTAGAGAGCACACATAGGCTGCAGATCCAGGTCAGCCTGAATAAGGACGGTGCCCTGGGTCACAGCAGGAAGAGGGACCTGCCCTTAGCTGTCATCAGGTTGCTCTGGAGCCCTCTGACTTATGCTATGACAAGAGCTCTGAGTGCCAATATTCTGCCCGCTCCTTCTCCATCTCCATGAGGGAGTCCCCTCCCAACCACCACAGCAGGTCCTCTCTTCCTTCTTCTTTCTCTCTTTTTCTTTCTTCTTTCTTTCTTTCTCTCTCTCTTTCTTCTCTTTCTTTCCTTCCTTCCTTCCTTCCTTCCTTCCTTCCTTCCTTCCCCTCCCTCCCTCCCTCCCTCCCCCTCCCTCCCTCCCTCCCTTCCTCCCTTCCTCCCTTCCTCCCTTCCTCCCTTCCTTCCTTCCTTTCTCTCTCTCTTCTTTCTTCCTTTTCCTTTCTTTCATTGATAAAGAGTTTCGCTCTGTCACCCAGGCTGGAGTGCAGTGGTGTGATCTCAGCTCACTGCAACTTCTGCCTCCCAGGCTCAAGCGATTCTCCTGCCTCAGCCTCCTGAGTAGCTGGGATTATAGGAGTGCACCACCATGCCCGGCTAATTTTTGTATTTTTTGTAAAGATGGGGTTTTACCATGTTGCCCAGGCTGGACTCTTGAGCTCAGGTGATCCGCCTGCCTTGGCCTCCCCAAGTGCTGGGATTACAGGCTTGAGCTATCACACCTGGCCCCTTCTGTTCCTTATTCCCCACGTGTAACTATGGGCTACAAAGTGGTGATTGTAAGGTGGGAGTTTAGCTCATCCATACATCAGCTGTCTATATTTTGCCCCAAACTTAAAGTTGCTTTGTCATGGGTTGAGCATTATTTTTGTGCTGTTCAGTTTAATTATGTCAGTACCACAAAAGCATAAGCAATTATTTTTAATTCTACAAACTCGATAATCAAGTTGCTCTAATCAATAGAAATCAACTGATACTTCTTTAGCAATTGAATTTAATATTCTGCCTTTTCAGAGTTTGGTTAAAATATGATAGGTTATTAGTGCAAAATGAGGGACACATTTTGATGATAGCAGCAGTTTTTACACTGTGCACCCTGAATTTTGGGTTCTAAAGGGGAATTGTTACGTCTTGAAGGACCAAATTATGTCTAATTTCTCTCTGAACATTCAGAAGAATAACACTCATTATAACTCCCTCTTCTGAATTGCCAGAGCACTTTGTAATTTCTCGTTGTATGGATGACACTCGGCCCTGCACTGGTGCTCTCTCTCAACCCTTTTCATCTCCTGGAGACTAGCGATGGGTTTTGTCATTCTGCATCTCTCCTCCCGAGCACAGTGTTTGTCCCTCGGTCCGTTCTATGCCTTTTACTACATTTCCTGGCTGACTTGAGTGCCCTGGTCTTCCCAGAATACCTGGGCGAGGCTCTTCCTTGACACTTACCACATTATGTCTATGTGTTGTCCCTAAAAGATCACAAGCCTGTCATGGTGAGGGAGTTTGTCTCATTATTCTCAGTGTGCCCAGCTCCTGGCACAGAGTAGACAGCAAGTAAATGATGAATGAATGAATGACTGGTGAATATCTGTACACTTTTTTTTGACAGAGTCTCACTCCATCACCCAGATTGGAGTGCAGTGATGCGATCTCAGCTCACTGCAGCCTTCACCTCCTGGGTTCAAGCAATTCTCGTGCCTCAGCCTCCTGAGTAGCTGAGATTACAGATGGTGTGCCACCATGCCCAGCTAATTTTTGTATTTTGAGACAGGGTTTTACCATGTCGGCGAGGCTGGTCTTGAACTCCTGGCCTTAAGTGATCCACCCGCCTCGGCCTCCCAAATTGCTGGGATTACAGGCATGAGCCACCGCGCCCAGCCCTGTACACTGTTTTTAATAGCTTGATTCACATACCATAAAATCCAACCAGGTAAGGCACACAGTTCAGCGATTTTTAGTGTAGTCACAGAGTTTTGCGATCACCACTACAATCTAATTTCAGATGTTTTCATTATCCCTAAAAGAAATCTTGTACCCATTAGCAATTATTCCTCATTCCTGCCCTCACCCCCAGGCCCTACTCTTTATCGCTACAGATTTGCCTACTTGACATATCACACACATGGAGCCATATATATGTGTGCCCATCATGATTGGCTTCTTTCACTTAGAATAATATTTTCAAGGTCCATCCTTGTAGCAGCATGTATCAGGACTTCATTTTCATTGCTGGATACTACTACTTTATATGTAATGCCACATCATGTTTATCCATTCACCAGGTAGTGGACATTTGGGTTTTCACTTTGGGGCTAATATAATAATCTTTTGCAAACATTCATGCACAAGTTTTTGTGCGGATATATATTTTTATTTCTCTTAGGTATCTAGGAATAGAATTGCTAGATGCTTAATATTTTGAGGAGCTGCCAAACTGTTTCCCAAAGCTACACCATTTTACATTTTCATCAGCAGCGTATGAGGGTTCCAATTTCTTCACATCCTTGCCAGCCTTTTTTATTCTCCATCTCTTTGATTCTAACCATCCTAGTAGTGTAAAGTGGTGTCTCACAGTGATTTTGATTTGCATTTCCCTAATGAGTCATGATACTGAGCATCTTTTCGTGTGCTTACGGGCCATCTGTATACACCGTTTGATCAAATTATATATCATCAGAGCTTCACAGAAATAAAGGTCTTAGATGAGGCCCAAAGAGTAACATTAAGTGACTTACCCACAGTTATGTGCATGAGGTTTTATACGGTTAGTAGCAGTACAGGATCTCAGATACACTCCTGACTCCTAGTGGTGCTCTGTTCTTCCTGCCTGCCCCTTCTCTCAGGATGCCTCTGGATCGCCACCTGCTGGAGGAATGAAATGGCTGGATTCCTTTTGGGTCGGGGTAAGCATGTGCCTTGGCACTGCTTGATTTTATACCCTGCCTATTCTTCTTTGGTTAGATTATTTCAGCTCTGAAAATGGTTTTCTCTGGATGCAGACTTCATATGTGAATAAATGTTTTTTATAACTTGCATCTGCTTAGAGTTTTAAACAACTGATGGCTCAAGTCCAAGCCCTGAAGAATTGCAAGCAGCTTTCTTGCCCACTTGAGTATCAAAGTCGGGTTTAAAGTCATCGGATACATTTAAACCTTTCCACCTAATATTTTCACTGTGACCCAAAAAACACAAAACCCAAGTAAAAAAGTATTGGAAGTGAAGGGATGCAGGGGGATTCTTGGGGGCAGTTATAGCACATGTGTGAATGTTGAGGTTTGGGGCAATAGAGAGTTGTGTTGCTATTGCTAAGCCCTCTAGAGACAAGCCACGTGGGTCTGGAGATGAAGCCAAGGAGAGCAGCCATTCTTAGTGTCAGTTCCCAAGGAAGGGTCAGGTTCTCAGACAAGAAACAGACCCTGAAGGGGCTGGCCGGCCAGCCGGCTGGTGTATAGTCAAGACAAGCTGGATTATGCTGCCATAACAAATAACACCAAAGGTCTCCATGGTTTATTAGAATGTAATTTATTTTTATTTTTTCCCTTATTTCTCCAAGGAAAAACAGAATGTAATTTTATTTCTTGCTCACACAGCATTTGCCATGGGTGGTTTGGTATTTCCATGTGGAGGCTCAGCCTTCCAGGCTATTTTATCTTGGGTGTCTCTGTCTCAACATGGTATTTCCAGGTTTTCCATGCAAAAGAAAAGAGATCTAGAAGCTCTCAAGCCAGCTAGTAAGTGCTTCACCTTGGAAATGACACATATGTCACATCACTTCCACTCACTGCCAACTAACTGCTCAGAAGTAGTCACATGGCCTTGCCTAACTGCCACGGGGCCAGAAAGTGTGAGCCGCTGTGTGCTTAGAAAGAGAGAACTGGTTATGGGCAAGTTCTAGCGGTGACTGTCATGCTGCAGAAGAGGCTTCTTTTTGGATTCTGCCCTTTCCAGGAAGCACTCAGAGGTATATGTGTGTCTATGAGTATCGTCTTGTGGAGGGGGATAGAAGAGGTGTCTGGAATCTGGAGGGGGAGCTGGAACAAAGTGGAGATTCATGCTGAAGATGATCACATTAAATCTGATTAGCCATATCATCTCGATTCCAGGTATTTTCTGAATTTATTATCTATATCCCCAAAAAAAATATATATATATATATATTTGAGAGTTTCACTCTGTTGCCCAAGCTGGAGTGCAATGGCGCAGTCTCGGCTCACTACAACCTCTGCCTCTTGAGTTTAAGTGATTCTCCTGCCTTAGCCTCCTGAGAAGCTGGGATTATAGGGACGCACCATCATGCCTGGCTAATTTTCTTTTTTTTTTTTTTTTTTTTTTTGAGACGGAGTCTCGCTCTGTCGCCGGGGCTGGAGCGCAGTGGCCGGATCTCAGCTCACTGCAAGCTCCGCCTCCCGGGTTTACGCCATTCTCCTGCCTCAGCCTCCTGTGTAGCTGGGACTACAGGCGCCCGCCACCTCGCCCGGCTAGTTTTTTGTATTTTTTTAGTAGAGACGGGGTTTCACCGTGTCCGCCAGGATGGTCTCGATCTCCTGACCTCGTGATCCGCCCGTCTCGGCCTCCCAAAGTGCTGGGATTACAGGCTTGAGCCACCGCGCCCAGCCATGCCTGGCTAATTTTCATGTTTTTTGTGGAGATGGGGTTTCACCATGTTGGCCAGGCTGGTCTTGAACCCCTTACCTCAAGCGATCCACCTGCCTCAGCCTCCCAAAGTGCTGGGATTACACGTGTGAGACACTGTACCTGGCCTGTATCCCCCAAATATTAATGAAGTCTTTCTCTTCGCTGAGAGTTGGAAAACTGAACAGGTGTGGCTCATGCTAGCCTGGTAGACTACGGAGAAGGTGATCTTAGGGGCAAGGGGGAGCCACATGTTCCAGATGAGGTTAGCCAGTTTTAGAGATTCAAGCTTTAATTTTGATTTAAATTGCTGACTTTTCTTTAAGGAGCAATATAATCAACATATAAATTCTCCTATTCAAATAATCACTTTTTTTCTTTTTCCTTTTTCTTTCTTTTCACTCCTGGCTTCAAGTGATCCCCCCACCTTGGCCTCCCAAAGTGTTGGGATTACAGGCATGAGCCACTGTGCCTGGACAAAATAATGACTTTTTTTTTCTTTCTTTTAAAGAAAGCTTTAAACTTCATCATGTCCCACAGAGCATCTAGCAGAGTGCCTTGTCATAAGAAGCACTTGACAGTGTTTATTCAATAAATTAAAGAGTGAATCAGTGAAATGAGAACTGTCTACTGCATTCCCAAAGGCCAGCTTGTCCTAGGACTCTCTGGAGTCTTATCCCCAGCCCCCAGGTGGATAATGAGGACTGGGAGACTCCAGAACTGATCCCATCACTGTAGAAACACTCAGGACAGGCTGAAAGTCCTGGGATCACCTTTGCTTAACCTGCTCTTGTCTTCAGATTGTTGGGTTTGCCATTCATTCCAATAACTAACCATTCTCCAAGTCCTGCCCTGCACTGATACTTATCTTGGACCCTTTCTGCAACATGTAACATGATTCCAATGTTTATCCTTTCTTTTCTGTTCCCAACATCACTGGCTCTTGTTGACTGCCAGTGGCAAAGTATTAGAGTACTGCAGCTGTGTGAGTGCCTGAGACAGTATCATTGCAAAAAGTGTACCATTGCAAGAAGATATTTCAGTGTGGAGGATTGGGTTGAGTACTATTTGAGACACACTGAGTTTAAGCAGCATTCAAGAGGAGAGATCCAGCAGGCAATTGGAAGTACAGAACAGGAGACTGGTGGATTCAGGGATGGGAAGACACACTTGAGAATAACTGGCATCAGCTGGTATTTGTTGCTATGGACATCAAGAAAAGAGTGTGAAAAAGACGTTATGTGTGAAAGGACTTTGTATAATATTGGGTGTTGTTTTTTATAATTAGCATTTTTATGTGGATCCAAGAAAGAACTTAGATGGTGAGAAAAGGAAAAGGAACCAGAAGCTTTCAGAGATGGAAGAGCTGAGACACAGGAGGAGAAGCTAGAGAAGAGAGTTGCAAGGTTGGGGTTGGGCTGGCAAAGTGCTTAGGGCTCAGAGCAGCAGGCAACAATGAGGATGAAGTGAGGCAGTGGCTAGGAGGTCTCAATGGGTAGACTGGCTACCATCTTCTCCTATATTCAAATTCCCATCTAGCTTGGCCCCACCCTTCCCATGCTTAGGACCCTCTCTCCACTCCAGTTGCCAATACCAGCTCTTACCAGTGGGCTCCAGTGGGCACATGGGAATCCTTCATCCCATTAGCAATAAACTCAGCCTTGTCCAAGTGTGGTCCAGGGACCCTTGAGGGACCTGTGACTCTTGGTGAGTCCATGAGGTGAAAGTCATTTTCCATAAAACCACTAAGACATTATTTACCTTTCTCTCTCATTCTCCCACATGCACACAGTTGATTTTTTCAGGAGCTACATGATGTGTGATATTCCAACAGATTGAATGCAAAGGCAGGTATGAGAATCTGGCTGTATTTTACTAACCCAGACATTGGCAACAATTTAAAACAATGCCACTTTTCTCACTAACTTGTTTCTTGTTTTGGAAAATGCTGTTACTTTTCATAATGCTATTTAGGTAATATTTTGTATGCTTATTGTTATTTTTAAATGAATTAAATATCTAACAATTTCTCTGTTTGATTTCTGATACTGGTGATTATACATCCCACCCACATAAAAGCTCTTTGGGGTCTGCAAGCATTTTGAAAGTGGAAAGTAGGGCCAGATGTGGTGGTTCATGCTTATAATTCCAGCACTTTGGGAGGCTGAGGCAGGAGGATCACTTGAGCCCAGGAGTTTGAGACCAGCCCTGGCAACATAGCCAGAGCCCATCTGTGTTTTTTAAAAAAATTTAAAAATTAGCTGAGCATGGTGGTGCACACCTGTAGTCCCAGCTACTTGGGAGGCTGAGGTGGGAGGATCACTTGAGCCGGGGAAGTCAAGGCTGCAGTGAGCCATGATTGTGCCACTGCACTCCACGGTCTCAAAGTAAATAAATAAATGAATAGACAGAGAGAGAGAGAGTCCTGAGATTGAAATGTTTGATAGCCACAATGGAATTCCTTATTTTCTTCAAGCTCTAACCCCTTCTCTAAGAACAATATCTCCTTTCCCAGAATTATTGTGAAGATTAAATATTTCAGTTTGCCAGCCACTGTGATTCCAATTATTTGCTATCACATATGGGGCTGTGCAAAACAACACCCCTGTGCATGCCCCCACACCCACATCTTTCCTGTTCCAGCCTCAAGACCACGATGACTTTAGAATGGGGGCTACTATTACTACTACTACCAGGAGGGCTGCAGAGCACAGGGTTGGGATCCAAAAGACATGTGCTTACTCAATATGCTTGTGAAACCACTTACCCCCCCGAGTGCCCCGGTTTCCTCATGGGTAGTAGGATAATCACATCTCCTCGCAGAATTTGCTGTGGACGACGGATATGGTAGGAGCAAACGATCCTTCCGCCTTGGCCTCCTAAAGTGCTTTGTAAACTAGGAAGTGCTGCATGGTTACCTATTTTGACGTTATTAGTGTGGGTGGAGAAGAAAGGCAGAGGAGCGCAGGTCTCCAGGGAGGAGAGGGGTGGGCTCTGGGAGGTACCTTTGTGTGTGCCAGTGTGCTGATGACCTGGGCTCCAGGAATCACAGCAACAGCCTCTACTCCCTGGAAAGTGCCGTGGTCTCTGCATCAGGTGCCCAGAGTCAGGACCCAGCTGCAGGCAGGGCTGTCTGTGCTTACCGGCTGTGTAGTCATAGGCAAGAGCTCCACGGCCTGCCTGATTGGCGGTGATCAACCCTGCTGCACCTTAGAATCTTACGAGGAACATTAACAAGTGCTGATGCTGGGGCCACACATCTGACTCACCACACCTGACCCTGGAGGTGGACCTAGGCCTAGGAATGTGTAGCATTGAGAACCACTGGACTTTTTTTTCCTGTCAGTTTATCCTACTGACCACAAGATGGTGCCCTATTTCTGGGAAATCTTTGATGTTCACCAAACAACAATTAATTTCTGTATTAATCCTGAAAACATGGATTTGAATTTAACAACCTTCTCCAGCATCTCATTAAGCCAGACCCACGTGCTCTTGGTGTCTAGCCATTTAATGAGTATCTTTTCCCTTCTGTTAGAAACCAGTGGTTGGAATGTGTCTTCTGTTTTGCGTTCCTCAAAAGGCTATAACACAAAGTAGAAAGTAGGATTTATGATCATAATCATTAGTATCAATGACAACTGATGTTCGTTTAATCGTTTAATCCTTTGCCATTTGCAAAGCGCTCTTCACCAACAATCCTCATAGTAACTCTATGAAATGGGCATTATGATTCCCATTTATAAGATGACACAACTGAGGCTCAGAGCACTATCTTGGTTGAGGTCACAAAACAATAATGAGCAGAACTGAATTTTCCAATGCTGGATCTCGAGCCCTTCCCACTGCATCATTAGAGACAAGCAATCAACCACCAGGAACCCAGGAAGTACAGCCCTGAGATAGGAAAATTCTCAGCACAACATCCGGAAAGCCCCTTAGGCAAGCAGGCAAGACAGACTGATGGCTCCATGCAGCACAGATGAAAGGCTGGCGGACCGGCATGTTTGACTGGACCGAGTGACCAGCGCGGGTAACAGATGTGAGGGTCCTAGTGAGCTGCTGGACTGAGTCAGTAGACACTCGACAAGAGGGCAGATTTTAACATTTGTAATTTTCTATTCCAGAAAAATGAACTGCTATATGCCAATAGGGAACATTCATCTTAATTCTGACTGTATAAGAAGTTATAAACTCATTTCCAAAGAAAATCCTTTCCTACCAGCAAGTGACGTCTTTTGAGATTAGTAAATCTAATAAAGGTAACTTACAGACTTGCTGCAAGACAGATTCCCGTAACTGAACAGGAACCCAAATGTCAGGGACCCAGGCGCCCAATCCTTCTGCGTGTTTTTAATCTCAGATAAAGCAGCCATCAAGTGTAGGTTCCAGTTACGTGGACCAGCAATACTGTTTTCAGGACAGAGGCAATGAAATGGAAAATGTAATATGTTAGCACTTCGCTAATTTTATTGACTTCAGCGTATATTTTAGCAATTCAGGATTCTGCTTTAGCTGTGTTCCGTGTCTCAGCTTCCCTGTCT